TTTAGTGCCATTACTTTTTAACGACAAAGGAAATTACCAGAGATTAATCAATCATTTCAGAGTAGCTACACTTGCATGAACTTTGAGACAAGATGGGGTTAATAAGTGATAGCAAATCGTCAACAATGTTGACTCATTTATTATCACTGTATGGGGGAAAAGAGCACTTTTGACACAAGTATTTCTTTTATCAACAGGAATATGACAAGAAGTTTAACACTGTGACTAAATGAAAATACATGCGAAGAGATGGAAAATAAATGTCAAAAAGCAAGATAACAGCTCTGGCTTGTGATCTTGCTGTGGTGGGACGGAGTGTCGTAAGAAAAATACTCTCACAGAGAAGAAAAAGTTTATTCAGTCTCAAAATGATACTTGAATACCTATTCCTAGAAACTTACCCAAGGGATATTTTGATAGGTGACCGATTCATTAAAATCGATCACTAGTACCATCAGGCTATTATGTACACTTGTCCACTTAGAGAAATAATACTCTTAAAGTATTTTTGCAGTGTGCAATAACAAATGATCTTCCATCAAGGTTCGCCTGACAGGCACTAAGACCGTTAGTCTCCTAACTCTTGAAACAGGAAAGAAAAAAAAAAAAAAAAGGGGAAGAAAGCCTGACAACCGCATTTGCTGACGACGGACGACATCCATCCATCTCTGTCCCGAGTGCCGCAACGAACGTGATGAACTGTGCTTTGCACTTTGCTGCCAGAACTCTTTGCCTTTTTTTTTTTTCCCCTCCCTCTCTCGAGTCCTGTACATTCGCGTGTGAGCTGCTTGCGTCGCGGATTAGTCCTATTAGAGCAATCTTGTTTCAAATTGAAGACACGAGTGGGCCAGGCTGGCATTATTTCTCGTGTTCTTGTAAAGAGGCGCTTGATGAGGGGGTTGTAGCAAGGGAATTTGCTCATTAAACAACAGAATTGTTGGAAACGTCCCCAGCGCTTTGAATCTTCACCATTCCTCGTCCACTTAAAAGCACCCCGTGGAATGTTTCTTCGTGACTAGCGCGTATTTTTTGGCTGTCGAAATGTGAAGATCTGCAGTTCAAATATCCTTCAATTCCCCCGTTTCTCTCTTACAAAATCTCGCAATGTCTTTTCTCTTAAAAACCGTTGCTTCAAACCAAAGCAAATGCATTAACTGAACAATGAAAGGCGAGAACCACGCTAAAAGCCGCATTATAAACCGCGTGAAACATTCAAAAGGTTTACCATCTACAATTCTAAACATTCCAGAATGAATTCATTTGTAATCCAAGTCACTGAGTTCTGATCTGGTTTCAATTAAGTATTTTACAACAAAAAAAAAAAAAACCCCACAATGTAAACCAGGACATTTTTTATGCATACATGGACATCTTGCAGTCAAATTTCACACTCCAATTATCTCACCTGCACAAGCAATAATGTTTGTTCCTGGAATTTTTATAGTGGGGAAGAAAACAAAAGTGTTGTAAGTGTATGCGCAGGTCCTGTTTATACGAGCATAATTCTACGTTGTAAACATTAATCATTCATATGACTAACGGTCTTTCTAACTGCTGCGGATGTCACAGCGTGTTGGCAGGGGCCGGTTTCCACACGTTTGAGCCGGCCATCAGACCTGGGCTCCGGGTGGATCAGGTGGCGCATTTGGCAAGCTAATTAATATCATTCTGAGCTCTCACAAATTACACAGGTGGCTGAATATGATTGGATTTTGGGGGGCGAAGGAGGGGGGGGCAGAGGTGGATTTCTGCTCTAAGATGATGGTGTGTTTAATGGGAATACAGAGTATCTTGTCTCATCCGGATGTGGGAGAGAGGCGGAATGAGGGGCAATGGAGAAGGTTGTAGTTAAAATACATTACGGCTAATCGCCAATATACTGTCTTTGATGGTCGAAAGAGAGTGCCCAAATTAAAAAAATGATGGGCGACACAGGTTTATGATTTGCAGCATGCTGGAGAACTGCATTGTGATGTATCACTTCTAAATGTCCAAATCAACACCAATTCTGCTTTTCTAAAATATCTCGACAATTTTTACGGGCAATATCCAGCAATTCCAGCAAAGGAATCTTCACTGCATTTGTTTCAATTTTTATCCATTCTGAACAGTTTCAAGTCAAAACTAATCACAGTGCGTTTTTCTCAATACTCCTCAAACTTCCAATTCCACTGCGTATGTTTCACACACCCCGAGCATTATGGTTAATATTTGAAATCCCGAAAGCTTCATTGACATTCCGACCGAGTCATGAGAGTTTCAAAATACAATTGTTAGACTTGGAGGCTATTTCAAAATATAATAAATAGGTCAGAGTCTTTCAATGATTTCTAGAAAAAAAAACTGAATCATTCCCATGAAGAACTACTGAACGTAGGGGGGGGGAATTCAAGGGAGGACGGGAGAAAAACGGGGGAGGGGGAGAGGAATCTGAACATGACATAAGGGCTTAGCCAGAGATAACCAGCAATATTGAACGGAAGGAAAAGTGATTAAATTTCACACCTGTGTTTGCGTTGGGACAATTTGGCCGGGGCTGCCACAAAATCAATATGTTGTGATGTGTCATTGGTGATTAGGACTGCACAAGTCCTTTTGCCCGGCAGTACTCCCATCGCCACCCTACCCACTCCCCCTCCCCCCCCCAAACTCTTCAATTCAACAGAACGCTGACATGTTTCCAGTGGAGACCACAATGGATGCACCTGCCTGCAGAACAGAAAATAATTAACTTACTTTATTTAGCCGCGTGACAACAGCGTGTCTTCCCCCCCACCCAAAAAAAAAATTTACACCACTAGGTCAACTTCAAATGGGGACCATTATTGCTCGAGACTTAAATAGGAGCCCATTATTTGTTCACTCTGCTCATCCGTCTGCAAACAAATTGTCTGCGACATCCTAGGATACATGCAATTACGCATGCCAGTTCCCGAGTCTTGTGGTGTCACAATTCTTCCTAGTCATTTGTTGGTTTTCACTTTAGAAATACATACCATTCTTACGGTAGCTTTTAGTTATTGTCGTCATTTTCCAAAAGAAGCTTTCAATTCAAAGCCGTTGACATAAAATTAATCCAAACCACAGATCAATGACCTTTACTCTATTGTGACAGCTTTTTTAAGCCAAAAAACAGAGGCATAGTTGATTTTCGTTATAAATTTAAATACATGCATAAAAGAGCCAAATTTTTCACACAAACAAAGAAGTCAGGCAGACAATTTCCCAACAACACTACCATGAACCAATGCACATGTACGTGTTACTGTGGCAACACAAATGCAATTATTTGTAGACGTGAGGCGAGCGCTATGAAGCCTAACAATG